CCCGCCTGCGCCACCTCGCTGTAGCCTTGGACCCGTCGCACGCTATGTCGCCCGCGAACAGGTCGTCGTCACCCTCGAGCACCGCCCCATTGTACTGGTCCTCCTTGACGCCGACGAAACTCCAGTCCGCCCTAGGGCTCCTGGTTCGCCCTCGCGCCCAGAGTAGGCTGCCCTCCTGCTGATCCGCCACGCGCTGCCATTCCGCCTGCGCCTCGAGCCCCTGCTCCCTCAGGGCCTCGCACTTGAACGGTCTGTGATGCGGCGCGCCGACTGCCTGTCCACAGCCCAAACAGATGTCCGTCGGCGCGATTGTACTCGCAGGGCTTGCCCATTGTCCAGCTGCCTCCTATGAACACCTTCTTCGCCGCGTTCTTGGCGTGCGCGGGAAACCCTCTCGCCTTCAGCTGCGAGACCGCGGGGGCCATGTACGGGGCTGGTTTGAGACTGCCGCGCTCGTCGGCCGCAGTCCACTCCTCCCACGGCTGTCCCTGCACATCCTTGCGCAGCATGGCCACGACGCCCACGAGGCACTCCTTCCTCGGGCCCAGGTCGCAGCCGCCCTTCGCGCGCATCGCGTGCCAGGCCGGCCGCTCCCAGCCAGCCGTCCTCATCGACGTTATGACTGCGCCTGCTGGTCGAGCCCAAGAAGGTTGCGTGCCCACCTCTTGCTGCTGTCGACTCCGTACCTTTATCGGCATGTCAGTCGCGTCGTCCCATCTGGCTTTTTCCCACCGCACAGCATGCGGCGACTCTGCACCTGAGGCGTGCCCAGGATTTATTCCTGACCGCCCAGCACGTGGCGACTGCGAACCTGAGAAAAACCCAGGACGTGTTCCTGACCGTCCAGCACGCGGCGACTGCCAACGTGAGCCGAGCCCAGCCGTCCAGCAAGTGGCGACACTGAACCTGACACAAGTCCAGGACTTGTTTCAACCCGTCCAGCAGGTGGCGACTCTGAACCTGAGTTTAGCCCAGGATTTAGCCCGTCACTTTCCTGCCGCTGCCTTGGTCTAGCTTCGGCGCGCCACACCTCACTCGCCCATCTCACGATCGGCGCCTCGGTCACCTCGGAGGTCGGCTCCTCCCGTGCTACCGCCAGCTGCAATGTGAGGCTCTTGGCGCCCCTTTCTCGAGGTAGTGCACGTCCTGCTTGGCGTCGTCCTTGCCGTAGTTGTTGGTCTGGCATGCCAAGGCGCTTGCGCCCATGCAGCACCGAGCGCTCGAGCCCGCACTTGCGCGCCAAAGTCGTGTCCCTCGCCATCTTGCGCCCGCCTCCTTTGAGGCTGACCAACCGATTGTTCCTCGCCGGCATGCCGTTGAACCTCTTCTTGCCCTTCGACTTGGCCGACGTCCTGTTCGTGATGCGGCCCACCCCTCGGCATGGGCAAGCCCGGGCCACTGGTAGACCTCGCTGCTGCATATTCTTGGCCACTGCCCAGCGCGGCCACTTCGCGCTGACCATGACGGCCCCTTTGCCTGCACGCCCTCAGGAGAAATCGAGGCCCATCTTGTCGAAATTTTCGAAGCACGCGCCCAGCGCCTCGCCGAAACCCAGCGCTACGCACTGCTGCTGCCGCCGTAGCCGCGCGCGCAAGTCGTCCACGCACGTCCTCCACTTTACGACGGGCCTCTCGACCGCCAGCCCGTCAACCGTCGAGTGGATGGCCAGCTTGAGGAAGCCGACCGAGAACTTGCCCCCTGCGATGATGGCGGCCACCTTGCGCGTCTCCTCCGGCACCGACTCGCCCACGATAGGCCCCCTCGCCATAGCGAAGCGCGAGCGCACCACTGCCAACGCCCCCGCATTACACTTGAGCTGCTTGCCCGCCTCCCCGAGCACGAAGAGGCTCACGCGCTCGAAAGCCTTGGCCAGGTCCAGGATGGCCGCGATCGTTGCCTCCGCGCACTCGCCCCCGACGTCTGGGTTGTCCATCCCATGACTGAACGGCACGTCCCATGCTGCATCCTCCGCCGCCTTTCCGAAACTTGCGCAGCCCCAGGGTCTCTGGTCCTCCTTGGCCCATTAAACCATGTTCGGCTCGCGCGTGATCTCCCAGATCCTGATTATAGCCGGCAGCAGTCCTATCACCCGATCCGCGGTGAAGGTCTTCAGAATCATGAAGACAAGAACCGTGCCCATGTGCGCGAGCCACGCGAGCGTCTTCTCCGCCTCGCGCAAGATGGCTAACAGCGTCGCGCACGCCCCGTCGGGCGCGCCCTGCAGCGAGGACGGATGTCACCGATCGACTCCGATGCCCGTCTTCTTCCTGAACGCCCTGGCCAATTCGTTCAACTTGGCCGCGCCCTCCTCTGCGAAGTCGCCCAGCTTTTCTCTGGCCTCGACCTCCCACGGCTTAACCTGCTGCCGCGTGGTGTCGCTTGTCCGCCATGCTGCCATCCACTCCGACAGCGTGAACTCTGCTGCCTTCAGCGGGCCTGCCAACTTGTCAGTTGTGTCCGCTCTTCTCGGCCTCCAAACCTGGGCTGGTTTGCGAAGCTGGTGCAAAACCACCACCGTGCCCGCAGCTGCCGCCTCCGCCATATCTGCCCACTTCGCGCGTCCCTCCTCTAACAGCAGCTGGCCGCGCCCGATGGGCTAGGCCGCCGCCTCCGCGTAGAGCCCCGGCAGCTCGCCCTTTTCTGCGCTGCTTCTCCAGCGCCCCGCGGCCAGCAATTCGCATCGCGTTTGCCGCGCTCCTTGCTCCTCTGTGCCGAGGTGCTTTGTGCGCTGCCCCCTGATCCTGAACAGCTTCTCCTGCCCCTTCGCCTCGCGCGAGCGCTTGTCCCGCTGCTCCGTCGTAGCGCGCAGCCGCTGGTCTGCGCCCTGCGGGCTCCGCAGGGAACGCGAAATCCACCTCCGCCAGATAGCCCGCCGCGCTGCCGTTGGCAAGTTGTCGCCCCCAAAGCTAATCGACTTGATCTTCCACGCGGGCGCCTCCGCCCCACCCGCGCGCGGGTCGTTCGCAGCCCGCTGCGCGCCTTTGATCGCGAAGGCATCCTTCTCCAGCTTGAGCGTGTACTTGGCCCATTCCTGGTTCGCCACCGCCTGCGAGCTGAAGCTGGCCACCTGCCCGTGCCTTGGCGGCGCGGGGGTGCGACCGATCTGCGTATCGGACAAGGGTTCCGGCAATTCTAACACCCTGACCTTGCGCTCGACGACCTTCAGCTTGATCGCTAGCCCAACTAGCCTGTAAGGAGTTGATGGCCACTCCTCCTGCACTCGAACGCCTGCCACCTGCGCCTTGACCGCGTCGGCCGCAATGAAGTAGTCGATCTCGCTGCTGCCGTTGGCGCGCCTGCACGTGCCGCGCGCTACCTGCGGTGCTATCACGCACGCCTTAACCAACTTAATGCACTCCACCTCGGCCAGGGCCTCTAGCCCCACCTGGAAGGCACCACCCGCGACCCACGGCGCTCCCAACATCTGCAGCTGGCCCGCCACGTGCATGAGCAGCTCCCTGTTGCGGTACGACATGCCCTCGGCCGTCCACAGGTAAATCGACGCGGTCACGACGCCCTTGCCCACCGATACCCAAACCGCAGCTGCGCGCCCTGGGTGAGATGTCCCACTTGTCTTGGCCGTACAGGTAGGTCATGCCGACGCACTTCGGCACTGGCACTGCATCCCCCGCAGACGAGCCCGCCTCGCCTGCTGGCCCCGTTGTTGGCGCAGCTGCGGCGCCACCCAACTGGGAACCCTGCGCATTCATGCACTGCGTGACCACGGGCCACTTGTCTTCGGCGAGATGATGTTCCTGCACTGCGTAGCAATGCAACGTGCCCTGCAACTTCTCGCCCAGCTTCTCCTTGATGGTACCCCAGCCCGAGCCGTTGAAGGTCCAGACTGTGAATTTGTTGTACTTCTTCACCTTCTTGCTGTCGGCTGTGGTTAGGAACGCTTCTGCCGCTTGGCTGAGTGCTCTGCCAGGCTGGTACAAATCTCGATCCACCGCTTCTTCTGCTCTCCGCTGGCGTCGGAAGGTGCTCCACCTGCCTTGAGCCACTCTTGTTCCCGTTCTGATAGTTGTGGCCCATCGTCTTGACCTCCTGCTGCGTCGCCACCGTCACCCCCACTTGAAGCACCAGGAGCCCCAGGCGGAGGAGCCATTTGCACGTCGTCCTTCGCGTTGGCCATGACCTTGCCGAGCCGGGCGAACAGCTGCTGGTACTCCAGCGTGGAGACGCTACTGCCGTCCACTGCCTTTTCGCACGGCTGCTGCATGGCTGCGAGGAAACCAGAGGAGGCGTCTCCAACACCCTGCACCTTGAGCTCCTGCTCTCGTGCTCGTGCTGCCTTCGCCTGCTAATGTGTTTCTTTGCCAAGCGCCCACGAGCCTCCGCCAACTGCTTCTTGTACCGCTGCACCTCCTCCTGGAGGCCTGCCACTTCCTTCTCTGTCTTTTCTTTCGCGATGCGCGCCTGGGTGCGCTCAAAACTGTGCGGTTTGGCGCTGTCCTTCTTGTCCCGCGCGCTGGTACTTCTCTTGGGCGGCCTGGTTTTCTACCGACGATTCCCCCCCATTATGTCTTGGAAGACAGGGCCCACTTGGGCAGCTTGGTCAGGTCCGTCTTTGGCTCCACCACACCGCTTTCCATGCCGCGGTTGCGCTCCTTCTTGATTGAGAGGAGCTCATCGCGCATGGCGCCCAACTTCTTTTACATGGTAACTTCACGCTTTGAAGGGCCCAGCAGCACCTGCTTGAAAATAGCTGTCTGTCTGGGAGCCCGTGTCCCGCATCATCGGCACTTCCTCCTCGACGCGTAGTGGTCACAGATTCCGCATGAGCATGACCACAGGCCGTTGCCCTGCTTCCACTGACCCTGCCACCCTGCTGCAGGCGCTATGGCTCGACAGCACACGCGCGAGGGCGGCCCGTTCGCCGAACAGCAAGATGCTCTGACTGCCGCGGACTAGCGGCTTCCCTTCGTCCACAGGGGCGGCGGCCCCCTGAGGATGACATCTTGAGCCGAAATGGCTACGGAGGAGGCCTCAGGAGGCTCCCAAGAGGCCCCCAAGAGGCCCCTAAGAGGCCCCCAAGAGGCCCCCAGGAAGCCCCAGGAGGCCCCCAAGAGGCTCCTGAGGCCCCCGAGAGCGATCCGAAGTAGACCCCAAGAAGCACCCCTGAGGACACTGACCCACGTCAGCGTCGTCGTCGTTGTCATTGTCGTCATCGCCGCCGCCGGCGTCCTCGTCGTCGTCCCTGTTTAGGATCGGCGGCACCAGCCGTAAGGCCTTCGCAATAACTCCTCCCTGTCACACCCCCAGACGCGTCGGTAGGACGGGCCGGGCGTTTTGCCTGAGACTCCCTCACCATGTCTGGTCCTGGGGCTTGAAATCTGCACTTGCAAATTGCACTGGGGGTCGTTCTCATAATGTTGCTCTCGCCTCAGCGCCGCGCGCATTCATCTGAACATATTACAACTGCTCCAAGGATGGAGGGGGGTCGATTTCAATATGTAACTCTCGTCTTTTTGCAGCGCACATTCACCCTAAACATTGCAACAGCTTCGAGGATGGATCCAAGGTGGTTTTCCACATGAGGCTCCCAGCACAGAGCCGCGCGCAATCGTCTTAAGTACTGGCAGCTGCGTCAACGATGGATGGCGGCCCCTTGTCAGAACGTTTGTCCCACCACAACGCCGCGTACACTCGTCACAACAAAGTGCAGCTGCTTCAAGGATGGAAGCCGGTTCTTGTTCAACATGTGATTATCGCCTTAGCGCCACGCACATTCATCTTAAAGGTTTGCAGCAGCGTCAAGGATGGAAAAGGGGGGCCGTGTTCAAAATGGTGCTCTCGCATTAGCGCCGCGCACCATCGTCCTACGAGTATCAAGATGAGGCTTTCGCCCTCGGAGTGGGGCTCTCGCCTTTGCGCCGCGAACCTTCGCCGCAACATCTTGCACCAGCTGCAAGGACTGAGCACCGGTTGTCTTCAGAGTGGGGCTTCCACCCCAGCGCTGCGCGCGCACTCGTCTGCAGCGCAGCGTTTGAAAAAGATGGAGGACGGCTCCTTTTCATACAGGGTGTTCTCGCTGAAGGCTCCGCTCGATCTTCAAGACCACATGATTCAACACATGCAAGCCAATACGGACCCAGGGCCGCAATTCATCAAAGTGGAGGTGCCGCTTGAGACCTCCTCAAAGCTCATGACCACAAGCGTGCATGTGTGCAACAATTTAAAGTCTGGGGGGACCTTCCTCAGAAGGAAGATGTCGCTAGAAACCTCGCTGGACGGTGTGATTACAGTACAGTCTCCGCGTTCCTAATTACACGCCAGAAAGATGCAAAGTCCCTCGCCAAAATGGCACGCCATGGCAAGCCCAACTGCGCTGGTCTTTCGAAGGGGGCGCTTCTTGTAGTGAAACAGAAAACCTGTAGGGACGTATGAGGAGAGTGCGTGGGACGGGAGGGTGTATTGCAGCATCGCCGATGCATCTTTGGTTTACTCTGGTCCTCCTCCTCCTCTTCCTCCTCCTCCTCCGCCTCCTCCTCCTCCTCCTCCACCTCCCACCCCCATTCCTCCCCTGTCTTCCCCTCCTTCTGCTCGCCCCCCTCCTACAGACGCCGCTTCTCCTCGTGCGCGGATGCTGCGAGCAGGCGCTCGAAGCCTGGCCGAATACGCACTGGGCTCCCCTTTCTTCTGGTTCACCTGCCGCTCAGCGCCTGCGGGGCAGTGTGGCCGATCCCCGTGATGCTGCATGCGTAGGCCGACATGCGACGGCATGCGACCATGTTTCCTCTGGCGTTGTCCGCATGGGGGTTCCCGCTCGAGAAGCGCTGCTTCGACGTCCCCTGGGCCAGGCCTTGGGAGTCACCACGGCCCGCGCAGGGCGCACCTCGGAGCTTGGCGTCCTCCGCCCTCCTGGTCGGTGCAGGCTCGCGTGCCCTCTTGGCCTCCCCCCCAACTTGCGCCGCACCCGTTCGTCGAAACCTCTCTCCCTCCCTCTCGCTCCCTTCCCCCGCTCCGTCCCTGAAGTCCAGCCTGTCCCCTGCGGGCTTGTTCGCCTGACCACCCTGCTTCTCTCCTGGCCTTCCCATTCTCTACGGAACGCCCTCCCTGCCAGCGCATGCCTGCACCGCTGTGCCCGCACCTGCCAGCGCCATTGTGCAAGTACCGTTCCCTTCTGATCTGACACGCCCAAGCTGCCGCGCGAGTCTTGCATCACACCTCCCATGTTTCAGTTTGGACGTGTCTCTTGATTTGCCAGTGCCTGCAGTCGTTCGGACAACAAAGGGACATGAATGTTTGTACGATGTGCGTTCTGATCTTGAACTGTACATTTAGTCAGATGCCGCGTGTTGGACCATCATGTTGCCAACACTGGGGGTAATGAAAAACACATTTCCCGCCCCCCTCCCCCTTGTCCCTCCCTATCCCATGCTATTCGTCTCCCTCCCCCACTTTCTCTCTCTCTCTCTCTCTCTATCCCACCCCCTCGCTCTCTCTCTCTCTCTGTCTCTCTCTCTCTCTCTCTCTCTCCCTCTCTGTTTCCTTCTCTGTCTCTCTCTCTCTCTCTGTCTCTCTCTCTCTCTCTGTCTTCCTCCCTCCCTCTCTCTCTCTCTCTCTCTTTCTCTCTTTCTCTCTTTTGGTTTCTCTCTCCCTCTCTCTTTCTATCTCCCCATCTTTCTCTCTCTCTCTCTCTCACTCTCTCCTCCTCCTTCCTCCCCATCCACCTCCTCCTCCTCTTCCTTGTTCTACTCCTCCTCCCTCTCCTCCTCCTCCCTCTCCTCCTCCTCGTCCTCCTCCTCTTCCTCCTCCACCCCTCTTCCTCCTCCTCCTCCTCCTCCTCCTCCTACTCTTCCTCCTCCTACTCATCATCGTCATCATCATCATCATCAGCAGCATCATCATCAGAATCATCATCAACATCAGCATCATCCTCCTGATCATCATCATCCACATCAGCAGCATGATCACCATCAGCATCAGCAACAGCATCATCAGCATCAGCATCAACATCATCATTATCGTCGTCATCATCATCATTATCGTCGTCGTCATCGTCATCGGCATCGGCATCGTCATAATCAGCATCACTATCGTCATCATCATCCGCATCAGCATCATCAGTGTCAGCAAAATAATAATAATAATAATAAGAACAATAATAATAATCATAATAATAATCATCATCATCATCCATCATCCATCATCCATCATCATCATCATCATCATCATCATCATCATCATCATCATCATCATCATCTCATCATGGTCATCATCATAATCATCACCATAATCAGCATCACCATGACCATCACCGTCACCACCATCATCAGCATCATCATAATCGTGACTATCATCAACATCAGCATCAGTATCAGCATCATCACCATCATCATAATCAGCATCAGCATCATCATTTTCATCAGCATCATCATTGACAGTGTCGTCATCGTCATCGTCATTGTCCTCACTGTTATCATACTCATCATCATTCTCACCATCGTCCTCGTCATCATGAGCATCATCATCATCATCATCATCAGCAGCATCATCATCATCATCTTATTCGTCATCAGCATCATCATCAGCATCAGCATCAGCATCAGCATCAGCATCAGCATCATCATCATCATCATCATCATCATCATCATCATCATCATCATCATCATCATCATCATCATCGGCAGCGTCATCGTCACCAGTATCATCATCGTCATCGGCATCATCATATGCAGCATCATATTCATCATCATCAGCATCAGCATCATCAGCATCGTCATCATCATCATTATCATCATCGTCATCATCATCCCAATCCCAATCCCAATCCCAATCCCAATCATCATCATCATCATCATCATCATCATCATCCTCATCATCCTCATCATCCTCATCATCCTCATCATCCTCATCATCATCATCATCCTCCTCATCCTCATCCTCATCCTCATCCTCATCCTCATCCTCATCCTCATCCTCATCCTCATCCTCCCTCCTCCGCATCCTCCTCGCGGCGCCCCGGGGGGCTGCGAGAGGTCCAGCGGAGTGGTGCCCAACGCACATCACAAGTAGACCTCGCCTTCCGTGCGAGGCTGCGAACTGGGCAACTGTCGCCGCCTTCTTTGGCTCCTGGGAAGTCCAACAGAGTAGTGTCCAGGGCACATCAGAACTAAACCTCGCCCCTCCTGCGGGGGCTGCGAACTGCGGAACTGTCGCCGCTTTCATGGGCTCCTGGGAGGTCCAGAGGAGTGGGGTCCTTGGCACATTTGAACTAAACCTCGCCCTCCATGCGGGGCTGCGAACTTCGCAACTGTCGAATCTTTCGCGGGGGAGATGCGAACTTTGCAACTGTCGCATCTTTCGCGGGCTCCTGGGAGGTTCAGCGGAGTGGTGTCGTGCGTCAGGTCTGGGCCGCACGAGTTATTGCGTGAATGGTGGGCAGTGGGCGTGTCCGGCGTTTATTGGCGAAGTGTTCAAGGCGGCTGCAGATATGTCATTGTTTTCTTTTTGATGTAAACGGTTGTCTTACTTTAGTCGCCATATGTGTTAAAAGGTTTGGGCGCGTCCCTGAGTAACACTTCTCCCTTGTCCCTTGTAATTCCACCAGGCCTTTGGGCGACAGGTGGTCTAAGGGGGGTCTCTTTCCTCTTCCACAGCCTTTCTTCCCTTCGGGGAGGGGAACCCTCCCCCTGGGGAGGGAAATCTAGGACCCCCCTCTTTTGACTGACCGCCTCCAAGATGGCCCCAGGAGGCGCTCCAGGGCTTCCAAGTGGCCTCCAAGAGGGCTCCAAGGGCACCCCGAGAAGCCCCAAGAGGGCTCCAAGAGGCACCTGAGGGGCCCCCAAAAGGCTCCCGAGCGGCCTCAGAGAGCCCAAGATGACCTCCAAGATGGCTCAGATAGCCCAAGCTGGCGCAAGATGACTCCCAAGATGCTGCAAGCGGCCCCAATACCGCTCCAAGACGGCTTGAGATGGCCACGGAGCTTCCCAAGCCTCTCTTGTTGTTTGACTATGGGTGTCGCTTCCTCTCTCCCCCCATCAACTCTCATGGGCATCGTTTCTGGATGGGCCGGTGGGGATACTTTTTTGGTCGCGGCCGCGCAGCAGAAGGCAGCCGGCGAGAAGGGTGTCCCGGCCGACGGGCAAACCTTATTAGCTGCTGGGCGCAGCACGAGCCGCCGGTGGGGATACTTTTTGGTCGCGGCCGCGAGCGAAGAGGCAGGCGGCGAAAGCAAAGTCCGGGGCGCGAACGAGGCGAATTGGCTACAACAGGCACAGGCCGGCCGTCCCACTCACAAAGCAGCCGCGAAGCTGAAGGAGAGCTGACGGCGGGGGGCATCCTGAGAGCTCGAGCACGTGCACAGGACAAAGTGTCATGGAATTCGGTGCCTGCGATGGCACGACCCACACATCATGAGACGTGGACCAGGATGACCAAGTCCGTCGTTCTGAATGGGGGCAAGTGGGAGGCCTGTGGAGTGAGTCGCCGGTGGGGCGCCAGGCTCCAAACGCCATTGACGACGTGAGCTAGCCAGGGGGGGTGAGCTGTCGCGAACCGTGGCGCAACGCAACTGGGGAAAGCTGATGGTGAGCCTGGGGTGCTGTAGCTGCTGCGGAAGGCTGAACCACTCCGTGGCGATGCAACACCCGTCAGACCACCCCACAGCGCAAGGGGGGAAAAACAGGTGGGGATACGCGAAGCGTCAAGAATTCCTCCCTTCTCCCAATCCTTCCTCTCCCTTTCTCTCCTCACCAAGTACTCCACATCGTCCAACAACGTATCGCAATACGCAAACAACGCGTCCACAGTGGAAGGAACAAACTTCCAGAGTGGATTTCAATTTTTCTGCTCTCAAGGTCTTGCAGCCAGCTACAATCGAAGCATGGCCAGGATAACGCGGGTCAAGAACATGAGGCGCTTCGACGAGGGCCTAAGGCCCCCGTGGAGATGCCCAGGTCGAGAAACAATCCAAAGCGACGCGCCCAAACTCGATGAACTAATGCCACTCCAGGGTGGAAGGCCCACATCTGGAGTTCCTCTTGCCTGCGCCCCATGTCGTGTTCTCGAGCCACCGCCCCAAGCCCGGAGGAGGAGGATTTGGGTGACGGGGGTCCAGCTGAGGAGGATTTGGGTCAACCCGAGAGGAGGATTTGGGTCAACCCGAGAGGAGGACGAGGAGGAGGACGAGGAGGGGGAGGAGGACGAGGAGGAGGAGGCGGAGGAGGAGGAGGAGGAGGAGGGGCCCGAGCGGAGCACTGGCAGCAGGGTGCACCCCCACGACCCTGCGGGCGACGCCCCGTGCCCACCGCGGCACCGCCCGCCTTGCCGTCCGAAGCCTGGGCCCGCGAGCGGGTCCTCGTGGGGCTCCCTTGTGGGGGGTCTTTGGGGCTCTCTTGGGGGCCTGCTTTAGAGGCCTCCTAGATGGGGTCCGGGCAGATGGGATCGGAGGACCTCGCCGCATCGCCAGAACATCGCCGATGCATCGGCGACGCATCGGCCATGCGCTGGCGACGTCGGCGTGAAAAACAATTGGGCACCACATCGAGCCGCATCGCTGATGCATCGCCGATGCATCGGCGATGCGGCGCGATCCTCTGGCCCCATCTACTCCGACTTCATCGAGGAGGCCTTGACAGCTGGGAGCCCTGGAGGGCCCCCTGGGGGCTATCGTAGAGGGCGTGACAATGAAAAGAGAGGGAGGGGGTCTCGTATAACGCTTGGTGCCCCACCCCTGGGGCCATCAATAAAACCTGTGGGGGCCGCCCGGCCAGGGAGGCGCACGCGCCAGACGCCCCGACGGTGAAGACGGCGATGACGATGACGATGGCGACGGCGATGACGATGACGATGACGATGGCGATGACGATGACGACGACGATGACGATGGCGATGACGACGATGACGACGATGACGACGATGCCGCCATCGTCATCGTCATCGCCATCGCCCCAGGATGGGACCCGCCAGCATCGGCGGGGTGCCGCGCCGACGCCCCCCGAGTGCCAGGCCCCCATGGGCTCGCCGCTCTGGCGGCCCCCCCGACGGCTCGCGGCTCTGGACTCGTCTCTGGAGGGCCGACGTCTCTGCCGCCCCCCTCCTCGAGCGGGCCGACCGGGCCGCCCTGGGCGCGCCCAGGGGGCGCGGTTGAGAGGGCCGTGGCGGAGATGGGGTTTGAGCCGAAAAAAGCGGCGGCGCCGTCGCCGTCGTCGTCGTCGTCGTCGTCGTCGTCGTCGTCGTCGTCGTGGTCGTGGTCGTCCTCGTCGTCGTCAGTCTGTCTGTCTGTCTGACTTTCTGTCTGTCTGTCTGTCAGTCTGTCTGTCTGTCTGTCTGTCTGTCTCTGTCTGTCTGTCTGTCTGTCTGTCTGTCTGTCTCTGTCTGGCTGGCTGGCTGTCTGTCTGTCTGTCTGTCTGTCTGTCTGTCTGTCTCGTCGTCGCCCTCACGACAGCTCACCTCCGCAACATCCTAAAAGATGGGCCGACAGGCGTTCCTGCCACGAGGCCCGCCAGGGCGCCCTCCTCGAAGCAGCGCTCGGCCGGGGAGCTCGCCAGAGCCTCCGCGGCAGTCGCGGAGAGCGCCGAACCGGGCGCGAGGGAGCCAGAGGAGGGGGAAGGCAAGGGAGGGAGGAGGGGGTCGGGAAGGGGGGGAGATAAGCTAGGTGCGCTAGCGTCACATCTGACGTCCTACCCCTTCCTCCCATCCCATACCATGGCGTAGCTCTCCTATCTATTCGCACAGTCGGATGTAGAGCAGGGCAATGATCCCAAGTCGGGAACGCGATGGATGGAAGAGCATGGCGTAGAAGAGCACGGCAGAGCATAGCATTTCATAGCATGGCGTGGCATTGCGTAGTGAAGCATTGCATCACAAAGCATAGCAACGCAAAGCATGGCATCGCACAGCGATGCACAACACAGCATCGCATTGCATGCCGTGGCATGGCACCTGATGACTTGGAGGGCAAGTGGCGCGTCTACGAGACAACAGGACCTGTCCAGAATGTCGGTTCGATTGTCCTCCGCAACCGTGCCTGCCATATGTGGGCGCTTTCGAATGCCAAGTGCCGTCGGGAGGCGGGGAACGAGGCCAGCGCTGCAGCTGGAGCACGATTTTGAACGACCGAAGCGCGGAAATGAGGGCGGCGCTGCAGCGGGAGCACCATTTGCGAAGAACAAGAAATAACTGGATGGAAAAAAAGATACGACAGAATGATGACATCCTGTGTACAAAAACAATGCGCGAAGAGGACGGGACACTTTCTAGACAGAGTCAGGGGAGAGGGGAAAGTGGTATTCATATTGCTTAATTGTAAAATGGCGGGGGAGGCGGGAGAGCAGAAGGATGAGGAAAAGGAGGAGGAGGAAGAGGAGGGACGGAGGAAGAGGAGGAGGCAGGATGAATCAAAATAAACCCAAGTTGCGCCAACGATGCTGCACTAGAACCTCCCGTCCCGATTCCCCTCCTCATAAGTCCCTACCTGTCCCTGTAAGACAGGCCAAAGGCCGACCAAGAGGTTGGTGGGGTGGAACCAACGACGAGACACCATTCGCGACAATCGTCACCATCTTTCGAACAGCCTCTATCGGCGGGGCACCCATCTCCATCCAACGAGCGCCCTCTATCGGCCGATCTACATACCGATTCCACTATCAACGTTTCAACCTATATTTGTACAATGCATCGTTACCGATGTGCGGTTGTCACTGTGCCTTTATACATACATAACTACCTATCTACCTACCTACATACATATTTACCTACCCACTTACCTGCCTGCCTACCTACATACGAGCATACGTGCATGCGTACACACGTACATACGCACGTACGTATATACGTATATACATACATACTTGCAAGCATACACACATATATTCATGTATACATACATGCATACATGCATACGTACATATTTACACACATACATACATACATACATACATACATACATACATACATACATACATACACACACATACATACGTACATACATACATACATACATACATACATACATACATACGTACATGCATGCATACATACATACATACACATACATACAGATATGCATACATTACATTACATTACATACGTACATACATGCATGCATGCATGCATACATACAGGCATACCTGTATACCGACCTACATACCTACCTGCCCACCTACCCACCGACCTACCTGCATATGCGCATACGTACATACATACAGACGCACATACACTCACGTACGTACGTACGTACACCCGTACATACATACGTACACACATACATACATACATGCATACGTACAAACGTACATACATCCGCACCAAAACACATACATGTATACACATGTACATACCAGCATTCATACATACATACAGGCATACATCCATACACACTTTTTACGCACGCGCATGCATGCATGTATACATACATTCAAACACACATACATTCATACACATGTATATTATGCACGCATATATACACACGTACATACATACGTACACACGTACATGAATATAGATGCACGCATATATACATACGTACATGCATGCAAATTTCTATATATATATATATGTTTATAGGGCCGGGGAGCCCCCCCCCCAGTGCCCCCCCCACGAATTTCGCCTCCTGCGTCTTGCTGTGGCCATCCTGGAGTCGTCTTGACGCCCCCCGCGTCAAGCGATAGTGTACAAGCGAGAAGGCCGACATTCTTTTTTTACTGCGTTTTCTCTGCTCTTCCAACTCTCTGGGCCCTGTTGCGCCAGCCTTGGACCTCTTTGGGGCTTGTCTGGGGCCTCATCTGGAGCCGTCTTTGAGGCATCTGGACGCCTCAAGAGCCAATCGGAAGCGACAAGGCGAGAAGATCAAAAATCTGGCTTTTCCCATGATTTGTCATTTCCATCTCTGGGCCCCCCTCATAGGGCCGGGGAGCCCCCCCCCCCTTCCCCAACTGACTTTCGAATCCTCGGGCCTGTCTTGCGCCTCCCTGTGGCCGTCCTGGGGTCGTCTGGACGCCCCCGAGTCAACCAGAAGTCAAAAAGCGAGAAGGCCGAAAATATTGCTTTTCTACCGCGTTTTCTTTGCTTTTCCCACTCTCTGGGCCCTGTTGCGCCAGCCTTGGACCTCTTTGGGGCTCGTCAGGGGACTCAGTTGGAGACGTCTTGGAGCTGTCTCGACGCCTCAAGAGCCAATCGGAAGCGACAAGGCGAGAAGACCAAAAACATCGTTTTTACAATCATTTTCCTACATCTGTTCATTCTTGGGCCCCACTCTCTGGGCCGAATTGCGCGATCTCCGGGCCCTGTTGCGCTAGCCGTGACGCCCCCCGAGCCGATCGGAAGCGAAAATGCCGGAAGGCCGAAAACATTGTTTTTCCAATGGTTTTTAAATTGATTTTCGAACCTCCGGGCCATCTAGGGCCAGTCTGTGCCCTCTTTGGGCTCGTATGGGGACTCCTTTGGAGCCGTCCTGGGCCTATTTTGATGCCTCAAGAACCAATCGGAAGCGACAAGGCGAGAAGGCCAAATACACTGATTTCCCAATGGATTTTTCACAATTTCTTCATTATTTGGGCACTCTTCGGCCAGCCTTGGGCCTCTGTGGGCCTCGGCTTGCGCCTCTCTGAGCCCATCCTGGGGCTATCTTGACGCCTCCCGAGCCGACCGGAAGCGAAAAAGCGACAAGGCCGAAAACATTGTTTTTTCAAGTGGGTGTTATCTGATTTCCGACTCTCCGGGCCCTGTCGGGCCAGCTTTGGGCCTCTTCGAGGCTCGTCTGGGGACTCATTTGGAGCCGTAGCCTAAAGAGCCGATGGTAAGCGAAATGCGAGAAGGTCAAATAGGGGGCCACATGCGAACCCTACCCCTACCCCCCACGATTTCTGAGGGGGAGGGCGGGGTTCACTTCGTTCAGTGAACCCCACCCTCCCCCTCAGAAATCGTGGGAGGTAGGGGGAGGATTCGCATGTGGCCCCCTTTTATCAAAAACATGGATTTCTTTCGATTGTCATTGATGTTCTATGTTTGGGGCCTTCTTGGGCCAGCCTTGAGCCTCTTTGGAGCTCGTCTGGGGACTCATTTCGAGCCGTCCTGAAGCTATTTTGGCGCCTCCCGAGCCGACCGGAAGCGAAAAGGCGAGAAGGCCAAAAACATTGCTTCCCCAATGTCTTCATCGACTTTCAATTCTTCGGGCCAGCCTTGGGCCTCTGCGGGCCTCGGCTTGCGCCTCTCTCGAGCCATCCTGAGGCTATCTTGGCGCCACCCGAGCCGATCGGAAGCGAAAAGGCGAGAAGGCCGACAACATTGTTTTTCCAATGTTTTTTACTGGACTTTCGAATCTCTGGGTCCTCTAGGGCCAACCTGTGCAAAGGAGAAGAGGAAAAGGAGGAGAAACAGGAAAAGCAGGAGGAATTTGGGGAAGAGGGGGAGAGAGGAGAAAGAGGATGAGGATGAAGAGAGAAAAAGAAGAGGGGGAAAAGAAGGAGGAAGAAAAAGAGAAGGATGATGCCCTGCCTCATGCTAGCCCAACCACTCGCCTGAGACATTTTCGCGCCTCTGGGCCCCGAAACGCCTTGAGCTGGCCTCAGCTGGTGTTGTCTGGTCGCTCCCGCTTTGGAACTCTTCACCCATTCCGACTTGGCGGTGGCGCGCCCCATGTCCACGCGCACGCACTCCGCCTGCACTCGAAACTACAAGGAACAGGGTGCATGGCGCGAAGCGCCAATGCAGTCATGTGTATATATACATACATACATACATACATACATACATACATACATACATACATACATACACACATACATACACACACACATACATACATACATACATACATACATACATACATACATACATGTATACACATACACACATACATACATACATACAAACAAACATACAAACATGCATGTCCATATGTATGCATTTCCATCGATTGCACTACATACACATGTACGAAGACACATGTATCCGCCACCGTGCCTCTAAGCAGGGAGTGGGCGTGCCCGCAAGTCCTTGCTTAATCCCTGGAGCCTCAGTCCTCAGTCCTGAGGAATCTTCAAAGGTCCCAGAGCCCAGCTTCTTAAATCTCCTCGGGCTTCCCGCGTGCCCTCTGGACTCCCCCGCGGCTCCCCGCCGCCGGCCCCGACTCCGCATCCGCCCTACGCTAGGCAATTTCATAAGTAGGGCCTGGAATTCCCGCCTTACTTTTTAAGCTCCGTTGATGCCAATGACAGCCCAACAATATGTTTCTGTATCCGCCCTGCTTTTGTGGATTTCCGCCCTACTTTATGTCGGGTGCGTGACCGAACGTGCGCAGTGGGAAACGCATTGGATGTGTTCCGTGCTGCGTGGCTGCAGCATGATCCAGACATCTTTTTTCCAAGTCGGTTCCACGTTGCGGGGCCGCCATGCGGACCTTGTCACTGAAGCCTTCGGCGGCGCCCTTTACGGCGCCGCAAAGCGTGTGAACGGCGTGCCGACATGAGGCGGGATCTCCTCTTCGGGCGCGGCCGCGGCGCCCCTTTAGAGGCAGCGCCCGGGGCGGCGCGCAGCCCAAAGCGCCATCTTG